GCTTTCTTTCTCCAATGGAGTAAGGATATATACAATTTAGTGTTAATTGGATATAGTATATATTTTATATATTAATATATATAAATGAGTGGTATAAATATAATTATTTGAATTGATAAGTCATAGTTCAAACATTTAAAAAAGTGCCAATCAGAACCATAAAATTTTAAATTAAAATACTAATCAAAGCCAGTCAAAATTTATCACAAAAATTAAATGGATTGGAGCCAATGAAAGATATCATTGTCTATATTTAGAGAACCCAGAAAGAGTTCATATCCAAACAATGGGCATTAATTAACAAATATCAAATGTCTATGCCAAAAATTAGGATTAGTAGGATGTTTGGCTAAAAAGTAATATCCAGAGCTGGTGAGATGATCCAGTTGTTTTTTTTTTTTTTTTTTTCGAGACAGGGTTTCTCCGTAGCTTTTTGGTTCCTGTCCTGGAACTAGCTCTTGTAGACCAGGCTGGCCTCAGACTCACAGAGATCCGCCTGCCTCTGCCTCCCGAGTGCTGGGATTAAAGGCGTGCATCACCACCGCCCAGCTGATGATCCAGTTGTTAAAGGCACATTGTGTTCTCTCAGAGGACATGGGTTTGGGTCCCAGCACTCAGATGGCACCTCCTAGCCATCTGTAACTCCAGATCTAGGAAGTTGACCTTCTCTTCTGGCCACGGCAGGTACTAGGTACATATGGAGTACATATTCTTACATGCAGGTAAAAACTCATACATAAAAATGAAAATAAATAAATCTTTAAAGGATCATTAAAGAAGATGTACAGTATCTAATCATATTGCTACATTCCTTAAAACATCTAAAGCCCCTTGCTGTTACTGGATAAGTTTCAATTACATAATTTCAAAACATAAAATTATATAAATGTATAATGGGGTATCGTATGCATTGTGTAATCTTCTAATCAGGATAAATATGTCATGTCATCTTTTAAAGTATTTATCATGTCTTTTTAGGAAAAAATTGAAACGCCTTTGTTCTTCTCTTGAGACACACACATTGACACTACCCATAGTCTTTTGCTTTGCAGCAGAATACCAGAAATTATTTCTCTAACTGTGACCTGGGATCCCATGACTAACATTTCCCATCTTCTTTTCCTTCTGCTTCCTCATTCTCAGGTGACCACCACTTAACTTCCATAAGGATAATTCTTAGGTTCCACCATAAGGGAGATTGTGCAATACTTCTCTCTCTGTGCTTGCCTTATTTCACTAAGAAGAATGCTTTCCAGTTCTATCTACCTTTTGGCAAATGATAAAATTTTGTCATTTTTCATTTCTTTTTTTTGTCATTTTTCATTTCATTTCAATTTTTAACATTGTGTTAGCCAGGGGTTTTTGAAGGAACAGAACTGATGCATGCATATACATAGACGTTATTAGAATGGTTTACCACCTGTGGTACGGCTAGCCCAACAATGACTGTCTCTTGAGGAAAAGACCAAGAATACAGTATTGTTCAGTCCACAGCTCAAACATCTCAGCAGTCCCAGTCTGGTTCTGGAGTCTCAGACAATTTCTGGAGAGCTGTTGGTCTTTAGCCTGTGTTGGAATCCTGAGGAAGTAGAATCTAATATCAGTAAAGGAATGCTTCAGCAACAGGAGAGATGGATTTGCCAGTGAGACTAAGGGCAATCAGGCAAGAAGCATGATCTTCCTATGTCCATGTCCTTTCACGTGGGTGCCACTAGGAGATGGACCAGATTTAGCAAGGATCATACTATCTGAAATGATCCAAACAAGAAAATTCATCTCCAGAGCACCCATCTGGTTGGTGTTAACTGATTCCATTCAGCTATAGTCAAGTTGACAACTAAGAATTGCTATTATGGGAATAGTGAGTTATATTCATGTGTGTGTGTGTTGCTAGGAATCAGATCCAGGGTCTTGTACAAGATAGGGCAAATGGCCTATAAATGAACCATATCTGTAGACGTAAGTTTCTGTCCCACCTGGTCCTGAAGTTGTTAAGTCCCAAATAAACACACAGAGGCTTATATTAATTATAAACTGTTTGGCCTATTACTCAGGCTTATTACTAACTAGCTCTTTTTTTAAACCCACGGAGGAGTTTATTAAGAGGGGTTGTGCTCAATGGGCTCAAGGAAACGGTGTGGATGCTAACTAGCTCTTACAACTTAAATTAACCCATAATTTTTATCTATGTTAGCCACATGGCTTGGTACCTTTTCTCAGTGAAGCATTCTCATCTTCCTTCTTCTATGTCTGGCTTTTGAATGTGTCTCTGCCTTTCCTCTTCCCAGAATTCTTCTAGTCTGGTCACCCCACCTATGCTTCTTGCCTGACTACTGGCCAATCAACATTTTATTAAACCAATAACAAGTGATAAATCTTTAGTGTATAAGAGCATTATCCTACAGCTTTCCCCCTTTTTTCTTTTTAAAACAAGAGCCCTGGATCTAATCTCCTTTGCTTAGCTTTTTTTTCTTGACCATTATTTATAATGACTTGTAACCAACACTCCAAACAAAGACAAACATCCATAATCCATTTTTTGGGGATGTGGGCATAGTTTTCGAGGCTACTTCCTGCTGATTGGGGGCACTGGTAATCTCATTGGAATCCTGATTGGAGTATTCTGTGAGGCTGGATCATCTCAGCAAGCAGTGATGAAGCTGTTCTGGATGTAGACATCAGAGAAAATTGCAACAGAGGTGCTCTAAAACGCTGGATCATCTGGGCCATTGCTCCCTTTGGAGATTTTTCAGGGGAGTCTTCCTTGATTTTTTCTTATTTTTTTTTTAACCCAGAATAAATTCACAGCCTTTCATTTCCAGTGGAAACAAAAGTAATACTTCTTCTCCAAAGTAATGTATCTTTTGACTTAAATTTTGAAGTCAAGGCATTTTCAAAATATATAGGTTCGATTAATCCAGCAACATTTTTAATCAAATGTATTTTAGGAGCTGTTGTTCCTTCCTCAGCAGTCAAACAATTAAAAGACAACACAATAACATACAGTATCCAGATTCCCTGTGTATTTTCTATCTTTACATGTTTTTTTTTTAAAAGCTCTATTTCTCTTATTTTTCTTTTTTAATTTTTGTTTTTTTTTTTTTTTTTTGAGACAGGCCTTCTGTGTATATCTTTGGCTGTCCTGGAACTCACTCAGGCTGGCCTTGAACTTACAGAGATCTGCCTTCCTCTGCCTCCCAAGTGCTGGGATTAAAGCTGTGCACCACCACACCCAACTACTCTATTTGTTTTTTTAAAGGACTTTCTATATCCTTTTTCTTTTCCCTCCAAAGCCTACATATGTTTTTAAGCATACCATAAACTGCTTAGAGGTTTGGGTTTTTTTTTTTGCTTATTTTTTGTCTGAATCTGTCATTATTGTATATCATTTCTTGAGCACATGAATCTTTAATATACTAAGCAGCATAGTTATAATTAAAGCTGTGGCTTTGATGGCTGGCTCCACCAAATTCCTTAGTTTTTGAGAGTTTAACTCCATGGTGGAGTTACTTGCAGGAACCAGATTTATTGCCACAACTCTCTGGAGTTTCTAGGTGTATGCCACCCCCAAGAAGCCTGATGTCAGCAGCTCCTAAACACCATTTAAGTATTTTGTGGCAGAGCCTCATAAAAGAGCTGCGAAGGTTTTGCATCTCTTAAAGGAGCTGTGCCTCTGCTTGCCTCTAGCAAACAGAGCCCACACAGGAAAATGCTGCTACCAAGAAGCTATGCTTGGCTCTGTTCTTTTGTGTCTCGAATTCCTTCCAAGCACATTCAGGTTTTGTGTATATGTAGTTGCCAAACATTGAAGGTCATTTTTAGAGAGAAGTTTCTGTCCTGCTTGGCCCAGCAGCCGTTCAGTCCCAAATAAGCACACAGAGGCTTATATTAATTAAATGTACAATGTTTAATAAAAGCCCAGAGACAGATTTTGGGGTTCAACCTGAAGACAAGAAAATCAAAGCTGCCAACCACTGGCTTTTACCTCCACTTTCAGCCTGAAAATGGCGATCCAGCCTCCAGGAATCCTCAGAATGAGACTGAGTCTGAGAGCTGTCTCCTCCTATCTTATATTCCTCTCTACTGCTGAGATTAAAGTCATGCACCACAACCACCAAGTTTCTGTGGCTACTGGGATTAAAGGTGTGTGTCACCACTGCCTGCTCTGTAAGGCTGACCAGTGAGACTCTTTCATTCTCTGATCTTCAGGAAAGCTTTATTTAGTAAAATACAAATGAAATATCATTACATTTCCCTTTTTTGTCTAGAATAAAAAGGAAGGCTTTAGCAAATATAAGAAAAACTATATACAATAAGTACAATGACTATACAATATATACAGGCAATAAACACATCAACAATATCTAGTCCATTTGCATTTGACAAATTTAGAGAAAATACTCCATATTTATTCTATCTTGGTAAGTACAAAGTCTTTTTCTTAATTTACTTTCTATCATAACTTGCTTTCTGCATCTGATAAGGAAGGAAAAGTATAACTTTTGCTATCTAGTCTTCAACTCCCTCAGAGACCTAAGAAGGGAATAATATTAACCGAGTAAGCAGGAAATGCTAGCATGTGATTTCCAGAAAGTGTGAGAAAGGACAGAAACAGCTGACTGCCTCGACAGTCACCCACAGTTCCTCTGCAATGTTGGGGCATCTATCTTCAGCCTACAGGCCTAGCAGATCTGACAGACTTTTCTGTGAAGCAGGACATTCTGAAGGGCTGTCCTTCCTTGTCTTGACATATATGGCAGTTGCTTTCTTATGTGTCCTACTCGTCCAATTAGGACAGCATAATGTCAGCAGTTGAGGCAAGGACATTTTCTTGCCCAGTGACTTACTTTTGCCACAAAGAAAGTAAACTCCATGCAGAGTTTCTTTGATGCCCATTATCTTCTCTGAAGTAGATTGGTGCTGCCAGGAGCAGACATGCCTCATTTTATAAAAAAGAGACTATGTTATTAAAACATCTTGAGGCCACCCTTTTCGTCAAGATGGCGCAGAAAGCGAAGAAAGAAGCTCCTGCCCCTCCCAAAGCCGAAGCTAAAGCGAAGGCCTTGAAAGCCAAGAAGGCAGTGCTGAAAGGTGTCCACAGCCACAAAAAGAAGAAGATCCGCACATTGCCCACCTTTCGGCGTCCCAAGACCCTGCGACTACGAAGGCAGCCTAAATACCCCTGGAAGAGAGTGCCCAGGAGGAACAAGCTTGACCACTATGCCATCATCAAATTCCCCCTGACCACCGAGTCAGCCATGAAGAAGATAGAAGACAACAACACACTTGTGTTCATTGTGGACGTCAAGGCCAACAAGCACCAGATCAAACAGGCTGTGAAGAAACTCTATGACATCGATGTGGCCAAAGTCAACACCCTCATAAGGCCTGACGGAGAGAAGAAGGCGTATGTTCGGTTGGCTCCTGATTATGATGCTCTGGATGTTGCCAACAAGATTGGAATCATCTAAACTGAGCCCAGCTGGCTAATTCTAAATATACACTTTTTCACCATAAAAAAATAAATAAATAAAAATAAAATATCTTAAATATTCTGTAGATCTCTGATGTGTTTGAAGATGACCTGCCTATCTAAAATATATCTTTGTTGGATCTTGAAAAAATAGCTAATGTGACTACAAATTCGATTATAATAAGTGACTAATTACTAACTTGCATTTTCTTATTATCCTAAACAGTGGTAATAATAACTTTCAAAGACTGGAAATTTGCTTTACATTGTTAAATGAGTCATATAGATATAATACCTTGAACAAGATTAGAAATGTATATTTTAACAAAATTAATCTCAAAATTGTATCAATATACAAAATTTGTATACAATATACAAAAGTCCAATGTAAAACATTTAAAACTAGTAGGTGATTTTTGAAAGTAGATTTAATAATCTACATTTTTATCTTATATCTATATCCTTCTTTCTTTCTTTTCAGAGTAGATTCAATAATCTACTCTTTTATTCTACCATATCTATATCTTCATTTTTCCTTTCAAAACACTTGTTTTGATGTGTGTGTGTCTGTTTCTAGAGATCAGATCCAGGTTCTCCTTGCACAAGATAGGGTAAATGGTCTATAAATGAACCATATCTTCAGTGTTTTGTCTTTTTTTAAAATGATAAACAAACCTTGCATTCCTGAGATACACCGTGGTGGGCAATGACATTATTCTCTTTATATATTGTTGAGATGGGTTGTTAAACTTAAGGTTTTTTTTTCAGTGCATGATTATAAGGGATACTTGTCAGTAGTTCTTTTGTGGTGTCTTCCTGATAGCTTTAGAACAATGCTAATCTCACAAAATTACTCAGAATATATCTTTCTGCTTTTATTTTCTGTGATTCTCCCTTAAAAACTTGGCAAAATTTATCAATAATTTTATCTTATCCTGAAATTTTTCTTTGGACACTATTTTATTATTAACTACAAACTCAATTTTTTTAAATAGAGAGAAACTATTTAAATGTGCATTTTTCCTTGGGTATGCTTTGAGAGGTAATTGGTAAGCTATTGATTTATTATGAATAAATGTATTCATAATATTTTCTTAGTATTTTAAAAGATACTTGTAGTATGCATAGTCATATCACATTCCTCAAATGACATAAGTAATTTCGGAGTTATTCTGTTTTCCTTATGACTCTGGTGAGAATTTTATAAATATTATTGATATTCCTGGAGAATAAGCTTCATATTTGCTTTTCAATTTTTTAAAAAAATGTTCCTTCTGTACTGTTTATCACAGATGCTCCTTACTGATGGTGGGGTTACGGTCCATGCACTGAAGTGTCTTGGTTGTTTATGCTTGTCATCCTATGACTGATGGGGAGCTGCAGCTGGTAGCTTGCTGCCTGGCATTGTTAGACCCCAACGGTGTTGCTGATCCCATTGTTAGACCCCAACGGTGTTTGGAAGGTTAGCATTCACAATTTGACATACAGTTCCTTTTCTGTGAGACACTTGTTTATCATTGTAATAAATTTTGCACATTTAAGGTCAGAAGACAACTTTCAGGAGTTGGTGGAGGATTGCAGTGCTTGAATCCGAGGCTTGTGAAGCAAAGACTCTTAAGTACCTACCCAGATTGCCCGCCCTCGAGTACAGTTTCTATGTCTGACAATTGCTTTTGTACTTTTGTAGTGGAAAATTCTAGGTCAAAACTTCAGACAATCTGTAATGCTTTCATGTATTTATTCTCTATATTCACCTTTGTAATATATCTTGAAATACAAGCTGGGCTTGTTCAGACTGTGTGGAGTCCTGACAGGATATGACACCTCTGGCGATCTAGCTATGTCAGGTGGTGATAATCAAGAGCCATTGTCCTCTCAGAACGTCTAGCCCCTAAAACGTCTGTGGGAAGAAAATGACACACTAGGGGAAGGGGTTCACGAGAGCTGACGAGGGGGAAGGCGAGCTGATGAGGGGGAAGGCTCTAATGAGGAAACCCTGCTTGAAATTGGTCTTTGAGATAGAAGGCAAGTTTTATAAAAATGCTTTCTTGTTTATGTCTGAATTTGTGGCATAAATTTCTGTTCTGATTCACCCTACATGTTTGCTCTGTGGCAAGTCACACAGAAGGAAAATGATTGGGCTGTTTGTGTTTGACTTCAGTAATGGTTTAGAGATTATTACAGTATATGCCAAAAGAACTTTACAGTGTGTGTTCTTTGTTGTCCTTTTACGTTTCCCCCTTTTACTGAAAATTGGTTCTTATCGTATACAATACATCCTGATTATAGTTTCCCCTCCCTCTACTCTTCCCACTTTCTCCCCATCTTCCCTCCTCTCCGGTTCCATTCCCTTTCTGTCTCTTATTAGAAATAAACAGGCTTCTAAGAGACGACCAAACATGACAAAATAAAATGTGACAAGATAAAGCAAAAAGCATCATATTGTATTTGGACATGGTAACCCATCAGAAGGAAGAGAGTCCCAAAAGCAGGCACAAAAGTCAGAGACCCACTCGTTCTCACACCCAGGAGTCCCATAAAAAGGCTAAGCTAATAGATATAATATATATGCAGAGGACCTGGTACAGGTATGTATTTCTTAACCAAATGGAATTACAACTGAAAAATGACTTTTTCATTCAAACATAATAGATGTTTTGTGAAACTTTGTTCCTGGGTGTGAAAATGGACAATGTCCCCCATAGACTTATGTGTGAAAAGCCTTGTCCCCATGTTTATTCCCCTGGAGAGTGGGGTGGATCATAAGGAGGTATGGTCCTATGAGAGGGCCTGAAGTAGTTTGTGGGATCACAGCATATCCTGTCTTGTCGTCATTACTCCCTTGTTCATAAGATGGGTGGTTTACTCCACCACAAACTCCTGCTTTGATTACCACCTTCTCCAGAGGTTCAAAGCAATGAGGTTACTTGATCTTGGATTAAAATTAAAGAGCCATATGCGAAATAAACCTTTTTCTTTATAAGTTAACTGCCTCAAGGATTTCATTACAGTAATGAGGATCTAATACACAGGGTAACAAAGCTGGCTTGAGATGGCTCATTTTCCATGTGCTAGTGTCAGTGTTTTTAATTAAAATTCAAGCCCGTTACTGAGAATTTCTTTCCAGTAATAAAATTATGAACTCTAAATAATTAGGATCTTCCTCGTGTTACTATTGTTTTATTCTTCCAGCATATTAAAGAGTTGCATTTTTATTTCAAAAAGAATATATCTGCTCACCATTTGTTGAATTCCGCTGCTAGATTTCCCTGAGAGACTGCACTCTACTGTTGATTCTCACGATGACAGCTGATCCTTACCTGGTAACAAAAAGTTGAACTTTTTTCTAATAGAAAAAATCTAATGAACTTTCTTCATGTTGAAAACAGAAATTAGGAGGGAAGGTGATTTTATAACGTTCCCTTTCTATTTTAATGACAAGTTCAAGCAGGGGATTTCCCCCCGCCCCCGACCCTCAGTTCATGCATGTCTCCCAGTGTGCCATTTTGTTCCCACAGACATTGTAAGGTCCAGATGTGATAATACGCACTCAAATCTAAATGTCACTAGTAAGAAGTTAGACTGACTTTTCTTAGTGATGATGAGGTAGCAAACACTTCAAAAAATAAATTTCTTTGCGTGCATTTGATGTAGGTGTGTGTACATAGACATGCATGTGTGTACGTGTGTAGATGTAGTTGTGTGTTCATGTGTATGTGTGTGTGCATGTGAGTATGTGTGAATATGTGTGGGGAGTAGGGGTGTGCACGCGTGGATGTATGCATATATGTGTGGATGGAGATTTACATGTGTGCATCTGTGTGTGTGTGCATATGAGATGTTGGTGTGTATGTATATGAGGATGTTGAATGTGTGTGTGAACATGTGTGTGCATATCCACGCAGGTAGAGACGATCTTTAATTAGTCTCCGTCTTGTTTTCTGAGGCCACGCCTCTCACTGTCCTCACAGTTTCCAATCAGCCAAGTCTAACTGGCCAGCAGACCCCAGGGACCTGCCTGTCTCTACCTCCCCAGTGTTGGGGTTACTGATGGACACCCCTGTTGTGGCGGATCTTGATTCGGGTTCTCATGCTTCTGCAGTAAACACACTATCTGACAGGTGGTGGTAATCAAGAAGCTCTTGTCCTCTCGGCATCTCCAGACCCTACAATGTCTGTGGGAACAAAATTACACACTAGGGGACAAGGCATGACCTGAGGGTGGGGGTGGGGGGACTCTAATGAGGAAACCCTGCTTGAAACTGGTCTTTGAAATAGAAGGGGAGCATTATAAAATCACCTTCCCTCCTAATTTCTGTTTTCAACATGAAGAAACTCTTTTATTTTCCTTTTATTTTTTGTTTTGTTTTGTTTTTAAGACAAGGTTTCTTAACAGCCTTAACTGTCCTGGAACTCACTCTGTAGTCCAGGCTGTCCTGGCACTCAGAGAGATCCCCCTGCCACTGCCTCCCGAGCGCTGGGATTCAAGTTATGCACCACCACTGTCCGGTTAAAAATTTGAATCAGCAAGTCTTAAATAGAATTTTAAGCAGATTAAGCAAGTAAAGAAAAGCTGCCATAGCTAAGGGCATGAAGTCTGTACGCTCTTCTCCCACCTTCCCTCAATGGAGACGCTCCAGGCTGCGCAGGTGAACAGTGCTGAGGTGCGCAGGAAACAACAGCCAGTCAGAGAAACTTCTAAAGGAAGGCCAAAACGGCGCGCTGCCCACAGCCGTTTCCAACAGCCAGTGGCTCCTATCAAAGACTTCCGAGTCAGAAGTGGGTAAAAGCTGTAGTTCGGAAGTAACAGATGAGGTGTTCTCTATAGTTAGACTAGACAGAAAGGGGTCTGGGACTGTTGTGGAATCTCATGGACCTGCCTGACTGCAGATCTTGAAGTCGGTCTGGGACTGTAGTGGAATCTGACGGACCTAAGAAGGTCTGGAACTGTGACGTGCCTCATGTTAAATCATCTTGTTCACCACTGAACTGAGGTTT